CTTAATATTAGTATTTAATCCTTTAGCTATAATAGTTTATTACTTAAAGAAACTTAGTATCCTTTTAAATAAAAGTTATTAATATATAATATCCTAACCTAATACTTATAAAGTATAAGGTAAATTCCTAAGGTAATAAGCTAAAGTTAATTAATTTATATTAGCAAAAAGAATAAAAAGTAGCTTTAAGTAAATATAATTATAAAGTAAGTAAAATATAATAAAAATTTAGTTTATATTTAATTTTAATACTTTATTAATAATTATTTATTTAAGTTATTTAAAAAGCGTAAAAAATTAAATTTTATATATTTAATTATTTTCTTAAATTACTATTAGATTACAGTTCCTTTAGATTATAATAGCTTACGGTTGTAATTCGTTAAGGGTATACTACATAAGTAATCCTCTCCTAATTAACCCTTTAGTTTATACTTTACCTAAGGTATATACCTTTGCTAGATTAGGTTGTAATAATACTTATAAAATAATAAGCAGCTAAATATTAAACTAAATAAACTAAGTAATAAACCTAATTTTAAAAAACTTAAACTTTATAAAGTTATAAAGAAAATTAGATTTATTAACTATAAAATAGATCTTTTATTTACCTTGGGGAAATAAAGAAAAACTATATATTTAAATTTTTATATTTTACTATTAGAAAAAGTATTAGTAAATAAAGAAATAGGTAAAATTATATAAGATAAAATTATTATTTAAAGTAAAGAACTTAAATATAAAGTTAAGAAACTTAAAATAATAAAATTTAACAAAAACACTTAATAAACTAAATACCTAGTAAAATAAAAAGGCTATAATAAAATAGAAAACTTATAGTAAATTATTAAGGACCTTAAATATTTAAAAAACTTTATAAATAACTTTTACTAAAGTTTAAGTTTAGTAAAAAAAAGTTAAAAATATCTTAATTAATAATATTAACTATAAAACCCTAAGTTATAAAACTAAATAAATTAAGTAATAATATATTAGTTTAATAAGCTACCTTTGCTTTTTACGCTTTTTATTTTTTATATTTAATATACTTTAATTTCTTTAAATTATTAATATTATAAGTAATAACCTGCTTTATTTACTTTAATTACTTACGTTTTTAAGTATAAAAATATTTTACTTAGGTACTAGCCTTAAGCTATACTTCTTTTACTTCCTTAAGCTTTTTATTTAATTTTAAATAATAAATTACTACCTTATATATTTATTACAGGGTAAGATTAAATACTTTATAATAAGATTTTTAATTTTAAATATAAAAAGATATTAATAAAAATCTTCCTCTAAGGTAATATAATTACAGCCTTACTTTTTATAATAAGTATATAATTTTATAATAAAAATAAAATTCTTTAGTATAATATTAATAAAGCTTTTATATTTTTCTTTTTTTTACTTAAAAATAGGTTTATTATTATACTTACGCTTATAATTAGTTATAATAAAAAAATAAAAATAAAGGTAAAATAAAAAAAAATTATAATACTTATTAATAAGATAGAAGTAAATACTTATATACTACCTTAATTAGGTTTTAAGGATAAGATTAATAAAAGGGGGAGAATTATATTATAACCTAACTTTTAAGGTTGTAATAATAAACTAATAAGTCGGCCGGAACTAGATTAACTATAGGCTAATAGATTAATTAGGACTATTAGTATTTCCTAATAGGAAAGCTAGGAAAGCTAGCTTTTTAAATAATCTACTATAAGAAAGCTAGGAAAGCTAGCTTTCTAATATATTTAGAATATACAACTGAATATATAAGTCTATTTTATATTACTTATTAGAATACTTAAATAGCTAGTTATTATTAATACTATAGTAATTAAATTAAATATTTAAATATTTTACTTTATAGCTAGTAATAAAATTACCTATCTACTGACTTAACTGCTTTGCTAATATAAACTATAAAACTACTTTAAGGTTTATCCCTTGGAAATAGCTAACCTATAGTGCCTATAGAACCTGGTTTATTATATTTATTATTAACTTAACTGCTTTGCTAATATAAACTATAGAACCCCTCTAAGGTTTATCCTTTAGAAATAGCTAACTTATACTAACCTATAGGACCTAGTTTATTATATTATAATATTTATAAACTTAAAGTTTTTATATTTTTAAAATAAACTATAATAATAAATAATAACTAAGTATTTATATTAATATTTAAAGTATAAAATTATAAATACTTTATTATTTACAGTCTGTATATTTTGTAATATTACCCATTAATATATACCATTTATTTAGGTTCTTAAGCTCTACACCAATAGCATTATAGGAGTTTAAGCCAATAGGAATTCTTAATGCTTTTGCAGCGTTATATTAAGCTCAAATTACTTTAAAGCGCCCTTGTCTATCTATAGCATCTATTACAACAGGGCCAAATAAGTCAGAGTTGCCACTAAGGATAGATAGGTTTTTTTACACAGACTTAACCTAGTTTATGAAATTAGTAATCGGCTCTCGATAATCATCTAAGATACCTTTGTCTAATTTTGTAACGTTTACCGCGAAGGGTGTCCTAAAGGCGCCCGGTGCCAGAACTATTACCCAAATTCCCAATAGTGCTAGTAGTCCGGCGTAAGATTGCGTTAACGACTTAATAGTTGACTTAACAGCATAATAAATCATCTGCTCTGGTTTATTAAGAATGCCCTATATAGAAAACATAGTAATTACGGTGCTAGTACAGTAGCGATACAGAAATAGTAGTACAGCTTTTTAGATACGGATAACTTTAAACACATTTACTTAGAAATAATAAAGAATTTAGTCTTTACTTATATCCTCTACTGCACCAAGTAGATCAAAACCTGCATTATTAATAATTACCTAATGGATCTGGTCTTATTATCCCAGGCGCCGTTCCTCTTCTTCTATAACTTACTCAACAACATTTTATATCTTAACTTTACTTACATCCAGCTGGAGCCAACGGCCTCTATTCTTTTTAAATTCTAGGTTATTTATCGCAGCTTTCTTAATGTTACGCCCTATCCCTATAACTCAGTATCCAGCTTACAACGCAGAGAGTGCTATACTCTGGCCTAAACTAGACGAAGCGCCTATAATAAACTATATCTTCTTAGTTAGGGTGTTTGCTATTATAATACTTTTATAAGTTTAAGTTTGTCTATATTAAAGGGAGACTTTCGGTGGTAATATTGCGGTGGAACAACTATATTATATATTATATTATACTTAGCTGACATTAGGCAAGCCCAGCCTTCCTTTCTCAATCAAGCTAAGAAACCAGCAACAAAAGCCTAATTACATTAAGTAAATCCCTGACTACTTTATCGTAGCGCCCGCTCCCACTCCCTCTATCTATTTACAGCTACAGCTATAGTGGAAACTATTTATTTACATCTAATATAAAGTCTATAGTTATATTTCTCCAGGGTATGAAGAGACTAAGCAGGATATATTTTACTTTGTCTTATTTATATACTAATATAGTAACCACTTCGACAGACATATGAAAGTGTAGACGTAGACTTTTATAGCCAGCCCCACTCAAATATTATCTATGCACCTTGGCATGCAAGGTAAAAAACACCGCCGCCCATTACATACAATTGTATATGGTAGGCCGGCGGTGTTTTGTTCACCCAACATGCTTGGCAAGTGAAAAGTAAATGCAAATATTTCGGCCTGTCCTACCCACACTACTGTACTAAAAAGAGTAACTACTTCGACAGGGATATACTAAGTGGAGCTGAATTATTTTTAGTTAGCCTTCGACTAATGGAAGATAACCTACCCCATTACACTATACTAACGCAGGTAACTACTTCGACAAAATTATCCACTGTTCCATTTTCTTGATTATTAATACGTAGTTTTACATGGAGTATCCACACCAATGTGGTGTACAGTCATGGGTACGAGGTGCGTCGTAAGCTGACCATCTCGTCCTCATGACATCGCGGGGAATCACTGTTGGCACTGCATCTCGAACTCATTACCACCTTCGGCTTTCTCATATTGAGGAATACCATTATTGAGAGACCACGAATCATACTACAGTTGCCCTTTCTTCGTGGAAATGGTGTATCGTGGCCGTCTGTCTAGTGCCTGCAAATTATGTAGAGCCAAGCGGCGAAAGGTACCATATTCATTATCGCAACGCTTGACCAGATCAACTAATGACAATTAGTGCGATGAAACGCGTCCGTCGTGCAGTCAATGCACGAGAGCCGGTGCAGTTTGCTCGGATTACCGAGACTTGAGTCTGCTGCAGGTTCACGACGAGACTGCTACGGTGGCTCAGAAGGCACATACACGGAAACGTCTATCGCATCGTCTGGATTCTGCACTCCAGCCGTGTTCGGTCAATCCCACAGCTGAAGATTCAAAATCCGAGTCATCCTATGATCGCCAAGAATTCACAGCTATCTCCCAATTATCTGAGGAATTGGGTTCCTCAATCACGATATCGTTATCCAGTGATATAGAAGGTCTAGCTTTCAGCTTCTTTATGAATTCCCCCATCGCTCTAAATTCGTTCTCTTACTTACCGAAACACTGGAAATCTCTGGAGCTGTGCGATAACTTGCATTCTTGCGTAAAGGCAGTGTCTTTAGCCATGTTGTGCTTTGAGCTTAAACGTCCTGTAATATTAAGACTGGCAAAAAAATATTATATTGAGGGCCTAGCAAGCACCAACAGAGCTTTAACCTCAACACAAGAGGCTGTGTTGGACACGACACTACTTTCGGTCCTATTGCTCAGTACATTCGAGGCAGCAATATTTTGGGAGCATCGCTCACCCACAGCGTGGACTGCTCATGTCCAGGGATCTTCGCTCCTTCTTCAGCTGAGGGGCAGACAACAGATGCAGACAAGGCTCGGTCAGGATTTGTTTGTACATACAAGTACAAATATTCGACTGTCGTGCATTCAGAACTCGCTTCCCATTCCATCAAATTTTACTGTATTGAATGCGCTGGTAGCCATCGACGCGAACCAATGCAATTTAAGCAGCCAATTGGGTTTGTTGTGGGATCGATTTGTAAGTCTCAGAACATGGGCAGATGGTAAAGAAGACATGGACGCCCTCATTTCTTGGATTGAACTCGGGCAAGAAATCGACGGTCTGCTGCATAGAATGCACACAGTCTCACCATATAACTCTGCAGGGACACACAACTTTCACATAATGACTTACAAAGGAATGGGTCGCCAATATCCTTCGCATACTGTGGCATGCCAATGGAATGTGTTACGCATATTTCGATTGTCAGTCAAGGAAGCGGCTGCCTCTACATACTCCGCTCTGCGTGCGACCAGGTCGAATAGTCCAAACAGAACAGAAGCAATTCATGTGACCTGGGTTCCTGAGCATCTGACTCAAAGCACAGACACCGTAGCCTTGATCGATGAGGTACTAGCTTCAATGGCTTTTATGCTGGCCAATCTCGAGGCGCTGTCTTTGCATTCTGTCCGGTCTATGATGTGGTCACTCGTCGGAGTCAGCCGCTCCACATTTGCTCCGGAGCCTGCTAGAATTTATTCGAAAGCCATATTGAATGTATTACGAGCCCATTTTCTGTCACCTAACACGCCCTTTACGGCCTCGGAGACTGAATGGCCCTTAGTTGGTCATGACTGGTAGGTCAAATTGACTTCTTTCACAAGCCATTGCTATTCTTCCAACTGACAAATATTGCCGAGGCTTCATATCTCGTTAATGCCGAATTTAATACCTGAGTTTCCACCACAAGTAAATTGACAGAGTCGCCTACAGGAGGATCCACTTTTATCTAGGTTTTACATTTATCTTACTTTGTCTAATAATCAGTCTTGCTCACAATGAATAATATCGCATTTAACTGAGAGTTTTCAGTAATTCCTCGACAAGCTCCTTTATGTCTAGAGTGAGAACAGCGGATTTATTACCAACATCAATGCCACAACTTGCATGAACTTCTAGATAAAATTATCATGAGCTATTAATATATTAGAAGTAGTTACGTCAGACGAGTATATGATAAACCTCTGGAGTTTTGTCAACGAACGAAAGTCTGATTCCATTAAGCTGTGATGACTGTTTACTGTTAACGCAGATACGTTCTAAATAATACCTTTAGATGGTGAGCTGCTCCCCCCCCCCCCGATTTTGCTTCTGCTTCAAACTTTTTTTTTTTTTTTCGAAATGCATACTAAATCAGGAAAGTACTAGGTCATGTAATCAATCTTCTTCGAATTTACCTTATCTTCGTATGTAACAAGAAGAAAGTGGAAGTTGTTCAATCCACTTATGGGCCTAGAATAAGCCGTAAGTGATCTTTCCGTTATATCCGAAGCTCGACCAAACGATAGAGTTATTAAATTCTTTATGCACGCAAGGCACGCTCTATAAGCACCATATTGAGTGGCTATTGTTATTACTAATGAATAATAGTGACAAACGTCAGATGACAAATGGTACGTAATACTGTTATATTGATAATTGGTTAAGTTGCCTTAGAAACAATCTAAATCTCCTATTGACTTTTCATATATAAGTTAGTAGCTGTCCTTTCCTAGGACTCCATTATCCAGACTTCTATTCATCCACAAAGATTGCACATTATCTCAAACTAATCAACCTGCAAAATGGCCTCCCAACTATCGCGACTCCCCGTCAAGCCAATCAAGCTTTACACCACACAGACTCCTAATGGCATTAAAATCTCTATCGCATTGGAAGAGCTGGGTTTGCCATACGAGGTTTTCAAACATGATTTCGTCCAGCGAACCCAAAAGGAGCCATGGTATCTACGTATCAATCCGAACGGACGAATTCCGGCCATTACCGACACACTGAATGGTGAAGAGATCCATATATGGGAATCTGGTAGCATTCTGAAATATCTTGTCGAGCAATATGACCCTGACTTTAAGCTGTGGTATTCTCCAAATACCAAAGAGAACTATGAGCTCTTCAACTGGGTAAATAATTCCCGAATTCATCTCGGGCGATACACTACTATACCTATCACAGAACTTTGAGATACTAACTGGATTAGTTATTTCATCAGATTGGCGGACTTGGCCCTATGCAGGGTCAAATGACACATTTCAACCGTCATGTGATGGAGAAGATCCCGTACGCTATAGACCGGTACACCAACGAGACGCGTCGTCTTTACAAGGTTTTGGATACACAATTAAGCTCCAGCACGAGCGGCTATGTTCTCTCCAAGTTTACAATTGTTGATATTGTTTACTGGAGCATGGTTGCAGCCTCAGGGTGGGCAGGCGTGGACTTGGATGAGTTTCCTGCCGTTTCAGGGTGGTATGCCAGGCTTCTCAATCGTCCGAGTGTAGCTAAGGGAATGAATGTACCTGAGATACACCCTGTCCAGGCATTAATGGATGATAAAACAGGAGACAAAGCAAAGGAATTTGAAAATTACAGTCGAAGCTGGGTACTTCTTGGTATGCGCAAGGATGCAGAAGCGCTTACTAACTAAAATTGATTAATTATTATTTAAAAAGTATTATAAATAAATATATTTATAATTGCGTATAATACTATAAACTGAGTTATAGGGAGGTAAATTTATATAGCTTAAGAGTAGGGAATAGTTTATGTGTCACGACCCGACTCTTATGGTTGCGACAATGGGCCTACAGGGTAGCCGGTCTCGGATAAACGTCGGACCGACTAACTAATTAAGAACGGATCATTGGATTATTTAATGATCCATCGATCCAAGGACGGATCATCAGAACTCTGAGATAATCCACGACAGGATTATTAACACTTGTCAATAATCCAACCTAGCTAACTAGGTATATAAGTTTACTTTATGTCACTCATTAGAACACTTAGATAGCCAGTTATTAATACAGCGTTTATAATACAATCAGATTAGAACTTAGATATTTACCCTTATTTATATTACTAGCTGGTGATAAGATTGCCCATTACCGACCTAATCGCTCCGCTAACATAAACCATAGAACTACTCTAAGGTTTATCCCTTGGAAACAGTTAACCTATAGTACCTATAGGACCCGGTTCGTTATATATTAATAACTTTTGTTTAGATGGTTACCTTAGACCTACGGGCAATAAAACACCAAAAACTCAGCAGCCTATAAGCTTTAGAGTTCTAAACAACAATATAAATTACAAAAGCGAAGCTTAAAGTAGTTACAACGGTAATATCGAAATCTAGGATAATTTCGAAGAAACTACTAAAGACGTCGAAATAGCTCCGCAACCACCTGCCAACTTAGACAAAGCTAATCAGCGTTTTACAGCACTCAAAGAACTCGTAGAATAAATACATTAAATAATTAATACATAAGCGGCTACTATAGCGACCTTTTAAGGACGACCAATAGTAAACCCCGCGGTAAACCCAGCCCCTGCGGCACGCTAACGGGAACCCGGAGAAATTATTAAACTACTACTGCTAAATAAATTCAAAGGAGATCCTAAGTAAATCCAGAAATTTTTTACGGATATAAGAAACTACTTTAGTTACTTTTTAACCACTATGGCTAACAACGTTATAAAAATTCAAACTACAGGAACCTGTTTAGCCAAAACCGCTAAGGACTGGTTTAAACTATACCTTAGGGACTTTAAATAAATTAAAATACCTAAGAAATAATATACAATCGACTTATTTAACAGTTATACTACGTTTAAAAAATAACTTAAGAAACTATATAGAAAAACTAATAAGTCCTAAGAAGCCGAAGATGCGCTCCTTTAAATTAAGTAAAAAAGACCCTGTACGAAGTATACTGCCGCTTTTATACATCTAGCTGCCAGGACTAACTTAAATAATAAAGCATAACGTATGCTCTACTACCAGGGACTTAACTTAGATATTAAGGATAAACTCTCCAGAGATAAAAAACCTAATACCCTTAATAAACTTACAGAAAAAGCTACTTATATTAATAAACGACAATTTTAGTAACGCTAGGAACGCAAGAGAGAGGGAAATCCCCAGAAGATAGTCCTAAAGTATCTTTACTTTAGTAATAACGCCAACCAGGGAAAGAAAAAGGATCTTGCGATATATAACGATGGAAAGCCAGGACCCATGGACCTTAGCATTATTAAGGTATAACGAAAGAACGTTAAATACTATAATTACGGGAAGAAAGGATATATAAAGAAATACTACCAAGCTTTAAAAAAAGACGGTAATAAGAAATTTACGCCTGTCCTAGAGCCTAAGGAAAACCAAGCTATTAATACTATACGACCTTCGGAAAACTATAACATCCTATACTTTTTAGCGTACTATAATAATAACTGTTAGACCTATTGCAGCAATAAATAAGGATTAGGATGGTACCCTAAAGGGTGTATATAAGCCTTAAATATACTTAAAGAGGTTACCTAAATGCACCTAGAAAAGAATAGGATAGTAGAACGAGATACAGCGTCCTTAATGTAATATAACCTTTGCGAAGGGATAACTTAGGAAGAAATTAACAACCTTAAGAAATATATATGCAACTAATACAGGTTAGTGGAACCTAAAAGCATCTACTACCCCTGTAAAAAGACTATAGCGGACTAGGAATAATACAAAGATTAATATAGAATCTAAGGTATTATTAAAGAAAATAAACGCTATAATGAAATCGTATAACAAAAAGAACTTAAGGACTAACAAAGACTCCTTAAACGATGGGGATAGATTAAATAGATTAATCTAAGTACCGCCTACGACTAGATCTAATTACCCGGAAATCGGTTTTAATAATATATTAAGACTAATGTAAATAAATACCCGGTGGCTAAGTTACTAAAATCAGCCATCTACTTCATCGACGACATCTGGCTTATAGACTAATATAACGAAGCTAACATTATTAACTGCAAACTACTCCTATGTAAATAACATATTATAACTAAGCTTAACGAATAGTATAAGGATTACGGAGCCGCCGAATGCAGACAAAGGGAATTTACGCTCTGCAATAAAGATTATTGCAAAAAACACCAGTACTAACGCCGAGCCCTTACATACGTTACCTATAAACTAGAACAATAAGGATTTAACCTTATAAAGTATAGCGATAATAATAAATTATAAGGAATTAACTGGAATAACCTTTGAAAATACCATAAGCTTACCACCAGACACATACCCAAGCCCGACTGCACCTAATGCAAACGCTATAATATTTAAAATAAAGAACCAGGATAGATTACCTTAGACCTAGACAACATTAATATTAACCCTTATGGTAATAATTATTACGACGGCGCCAACGATACAACCTACTACAACCTGAACACCCTTACAGGAGGAAAGAAACTATAAAAATTCCAAGTACCAGGTACCTTAGAAGGATATCCAATTACAGTCTACATAGACTCCGGAGCTACAATAAGCTATATTACGCCTTAACTAGTTAACCGCCTACAGTTGGACAATCGTAAGAAGGAGAAACTATACACCCTTGCGAACATCGAGAAACAATAATTTACCTACAATAACGGAACTATTAACCGCAAGACTAATCTCCTTAAGATCCAGTTTAGTAAAATTAAAGATATATTTAATTTCAATATTATAAATATTACAGGATATAATATACTCTTAGGATACAATTAGCTTAAGTTGCGTAACCTTAACATTAATTAAATCAGAGGCCAGGCAAAATAACGAACTCGCCCTAAACCAATTAATTTCAGAGATACACTATAACTAGATCAGGAGGATCAATAGGATACTACGACATCCCCGACGATAGGATCAGTAACCCCTATATTAAATAAAGAAATATAAAAATACACGGAAAAGAGAAAAGCCACAAAACAAGTACGATTTAAGGAACTAAAGAAGTTCCCAAGAATAATCAAATATATTAAAAAACCTAAAAAGAAACAGCTTAGATTTCTAAACTCGATCATACAAAAGGTTAAGGAATTATACTACCGAGACCAACAGATACTAGAACGTTTAAAGAACGTACCAACAGACCTCCAGTATATACCAGTCTTTAACGAAGAACTAAACACTAGACTACTAAAACACAGCCAATGGGATTATAAGATTAAGCTTATAGACAACAAAGTCCCAACGTTTAACAAAATCTATAACCTAAGTACTACTAAACTTAAAATACTCAATAAATAGATTAAAGACCAGCTAAAGAAAGGTTATATCTAACCTTCTAAATCCTCAGCAGGAGCCCCAGTTATATTTATGCCTAAGAAAAACAGTAAACTTCGACTTATTATAGATTACCAATAATTAAACGCAATAACTAAGAAAGATATTACGCTATTACCACTGATTTCGGAAATCAGAGATTGGCTTACAGGAGCTAAGGTCTTTACTTTATTAGACCTTAAGGGAGCCTATAACCTTATTTGTATAAAGAAAGGCGACGAATGGAAAACCGCCTTTAGAACCAGATATAGATTATACAAATGTAATGTTATGTAGTTTAGATTAACTAACGCCCCTGCGACATTCTAGAAAATAATCAACTACGTACTATAAGACTACGTAGATTATTTTGTTATTATATACCTTAACGACATCCTTATTTATTCTAAGAACTTAGAAGAACATAAGGAATACGTTAAGAAGGTATTATAAATACTCTAAGATAATAAACTCCTAGTGGAACCTAAGAAATATAACTTCTATATACAGAAGGTTATATTCCTAGGATATATTATTACCCTAGGCAAAGTTTAAATAAACCCTAAGAAACTTAAAGCAATTAACAACTGGAAGCTGCTTAAAAACGTTAAATAAGTATAAAGCTTCTTAGGACTTGCTAATTATTATCAACGCTTTATTAAAGACTTCTTAAAAATCGCTACGCTACTTACAAACTTAATAAAGAAAAACGTTAAATTTAAATTAACACAAAACACTCTAACCGCCTTTAAACACCTTAAATAAGCTCTTATAAGTGCACCAGTACTTATGATGTTTAACCTAAATAAACCTATTATAATCGAAACCGACGCCTCGGATTATACAATCGGAGGAGTACTTAGCCAACCGGACGACACACCTAAGAAGAAGCTCAGGCCTATTGCCTACTTCTCAGAGAAACTAAATAAACTAGAACTCAGATACCCCATCTACAACAAAGAGTTCATAGCCATATACCAAGCACTTAGCAAGCAGCATTAGAGATACTACTGTAAAGGAAGTCGATTTCCAGTGACAATCCTTATAGATCACCGGAACATCACCTACTTTATAATAACATAAGAACTATCTTACAGATAAGTTAAGTATTATAAGCGACTCTCCAAGTTTAAGCTCTTAATTAAATACTACAGTAGTTTAAACAACGGATGCGCTAATATACTCAGCAGACGTCTAGACTACTTCTAAGAAATCCCGGAAGTAAAAGCATAAATACTAAAAAAAAATCAGTATAGCAACCTAGTGATTTAATTAATCAACACCTTGTACTAAATCAAGATAGACGATCCAATTATTAACGATATAAAGGAATACGT